ATAAATTCAGTTCACAGTAAGTTTCCTTTCCCACTATAACCTAAGTTATCTGTTCATTCTTTTCCATAATAGCGTTTACTGCATGTAATGCATTTATCATTATTTTGTAGTATAATATTTTGGATTTTCTTCTCTTCTCCTAAACAGAGAACTCAGCTTATATCTTTATAGCTGCTGCTGGGATTTTTTTTTTTTGGCAGGGGAGGTTCCTGGGGACTGAACCCAGAAGCACTTTACCACTGAGCTACATCCCCAATCTTTTTTATATTTGAAACAGGGTCTTGCTAAATTGCTGAGGCTGGCCTCAAACTTACCACCTGCCTCAGTCTCCTGAATCTCTGGGATTAAAGGTGGTGCCCAGATGGGATTGATGGATCTTCTAAATGAGTAAACATCTAAGTATTCTACGTTCTGGACCACCTTCCCCTACCACAAAATGTTTATAGGGTCCTACTTCCTTAGAGCCCTGTTCTCCAATATGGCATGTGATTTCTTCTTACCCATTTCTGGTAACAAATGAGAATAAAACTTTAAACTATAACTAGAAAAGTAGAAAGCTTTATAAGCTACTTAACTCAAAAATCAGCTAAAGGTATTATCCATGCTTTTAGATTTCAACAGAACATAGAAGACATCAGGGTCTTCTATAATGAGAGGACCATAAAGGAATCTTCCATTTGGAGGCAGCAACAGCCAAAGCTGAACTTCAGGAAATTGTTCTCAAGCAATTGCCTTTGCCAGGCTTGTGTTCTTTGTTGAACTACAGAAAAACCCACACCCATCATATCATCACTACACCCTTTCAAACAAACAAAACCTCACCAGCCTGTAAAACTTACTTCCTAAACCTGTTCAACGCCCTCCCCATCCCCACGTGACACACCAGAAGGTACAGACTAAAAATAAATCAATCTGCTTCCATCACTATTAAGTTGGCATGAACTGTTTCTTATACTTAAGATTTTAAGTAATTCACAACCAGGTTATTACTACAGTTTAGTGAAGTAAAGGGAGACTATACAAACTCCAAAGACCTTCCTCCAATTACATCTTTTAATCAATTGAGCTTTAATTTATAAAAATATAGACATGTGAAAGAAGGTAGTAGAAACAAAGACAATCTAAGAAATGTTTGATATCAACATAAAATGTTTCTTGGTTTTTCAAGACAGAATTTTTATTCTTTGGGTTTTACTTCCTTAGAATTGGCAAAACATCTGTACTTTTTTTGTAGTTGTAGATGGACAGAATGCCTTTATTTTATTTGTTTATTTCTTTATGTGGTGCTGAGGATCGAACCCAGTACCTCACACATGCTAGGCAAGCACTCTGCCACTGAGCTACAGTCCCAGCCCAAAACATCTATATTTGATTCATAATCCGATGATCTCTGAAAATAGGAAAAATATAAAATTATTTTTATATTTTATAATTACATAAAATTATATAGCCCCAGGACATATTTTTGCACATGTGTGTTTCAGACAGGGTTTTGCTGTATTGCCCAGGCTGGAATTGAACTCCTGGGCTCAACTAATTCCTGTCTTAGCCTCCCAAGGAGGGAGCATATGCAAATGGTATTTTCCCAAAAACATGATATTTATCTAGGGTTCAAAATAATAAAAGCTAACACTTATAGTATGGCACTCATTATATCAGACTACTCTAAATAATTTATTTTACTTACTGGCAAAAGAATCTTATAAAATAGGTACTATTATTATTCTCATTTTGCAGTTAGGTAATTCTATGTATATATGTATGTATGTATGTATGTATGTATTTATTTATCTATCTATCTATACTGGGAATTGAACCTAGGGGCCTCATGCATGCTAGCTAAGAGCTTTATTCCTGATCTATGTTCCCAACCCTTTTTGAGACAGGGTCTTGCTAAGTTTCCCAAATTGGCCTTGAACTTTTGATCCTCCTGCGTCAGCCTCCAGAGTAGCTGGGATTATAGGCATGCCCCACCACTCTCTGCTCACAGATAATTCTTACCTAGAATTACTTTTCCAAACATTTAGTGGCTAAATTTCAAACACCAGCTAAAGTAGTCATGTGAATTCTAATCAATCTAAATTTGCCAAAAATATTTTAAATATAATCAATTCCAATGCAAAGCATTCATGTTGAATATAAAGTCAGTTTTTCACAATTATGATACCTTTTTTTTTTTTTTTTTACTGGCAAAGGGAGTAGTAAAATGTCTTATACTTCCTAAATTTTTCTGATTAAAATAGTTCTCTAAATTCTTCCTCTCACAAGAGGCAGATGAGCAGGGTGCACACCTGTAGTCCCAGGGGCTCCGGAGGCTGGAGCAGGCAGGAGGATCAAGAGTTCAAAGCCAGCCTCATCAATTTATTGAGGACCTAAGCAACTCAGTGAGACCCTGTCTCTAAATAAAAAATAAATAAATAAAAGGGGTGGAGATGTGGCTCAGTAATTGAGTACCCTGGTACCAAAAAAAAAAAAAAAAAAGAGGCAGATGAAAACAGGACAAATTTCACCTCTTTACCCTCCAGATATCTGTTGTTTTTAATTCTTCTACACCTTTGCATCATGCTAAAATTTCTGTTTAAAAAAAAAAAAAAAAACTCTGCTGAAGGCTGATGGACAGTAACTAGATAAACTGATGACTTACCTCCTAGAGTGGAGGAATGACTTTGTAACAGACTGCAGGAGATTGCTCCTGGAAGCCACCCAAAATGCCCTAAGTTAATTTATCCATATCTAATCCATTCAGGCATGCATTAAGGCCCAATTTCTGTTCTCCACAAGGCCTGTTCACAAAGACTGTCTTTTCTCTGAGTTCTGAAGGTGGGTGTCACATAATTTCAACTTCTTTATGTCACGATGCTAATCTTTTTTGGGCTTATATCTCAACCAGATTGTGGGTGTCTTTGTCACACTTTCCCTGAATATCTAGCTTAATAGTGAACATAGATACTGAAAAATTCATTAAGCAATTGTTTCACTAGGTTTACTGGCTTAATACAAACATTTGCACTGATTTTGGTTGAGAATCTCCCTCCTTAGGAGATTACAGGCACAGTGGTGCATGCCTGTAATCCCAGCGACTTGGGTGGATGAGTCAAGAGGATCACAAATTCAAAGCCAGCCTCAGCAACTTAGAGAGACCCTGTCTCAAAATAAGATATAAAAAGGAATGGGATGTTACTCGTGGGTTCAATCCCTGGTACTGAAAAAAAGAATCTCCCTCATGCTTGAGTCAGTCTTCAGCAACTGGAAAACAGTTCTTCCATGGTACTTAGATGTTTGTACCCAAGTCACATAATATAACCCAGAGTCCTTTAGCAATCCAGGCCCTTTTCATTTGATCAAATGTAAATAAACCAAAATGGGATTATTGCTCCCTTCATTCTGAGATAAAAATAGCTTTTCACATCCTCACCATGGTTTACACTTCCTCAATTTATGACTCTTTATTTTAAGCACAAATGCTTTAATTTGGGTGTCATCCTAGACCTAAAGCAGTCATTATATTTACAAGTATGGCCAGAAGTCATGGCCACAAAGTGTAATAAAAGCTTGCTCAATCCAAAATGTCTATATTTCCACTCCTGGAGTCGGAGTTAGTCATAAGATGACTGACTGTAAAGTCAAATGGCCAAGAAAGTATTGTAAATTGTAAATAGTAACCATTTCTGTCATTCATTCAAAATCATGAAAAGGATTGCCTTGGTAGGTAATAAGGTCATCATGGTTAAAAAATCTTTATGGAGAGCTTTAATGGCCATATGTTAGGGGATGATGAAAGAAGCAAACCAATTTGATATGATGTGAGGCTAGATAACACCTCTTCCAACACAAAGATTCTAGAAAGTTTAACTTGTCAGAAAGCATGAGACAGCTTTTAATTTATCCCAGGATACCACTGCCTGAGTAATTCTGTAGTTCCCCTAGTGCCTTTCAGTACTATCTGCCTATAGATCACAAAATTTACTTAACAGCCATGTCATCATCAAAGACAAGTATCATTAAAAAAAACTTACATAACTTATAACTCAACAAGAGTTATAAAGGATTAGTAAGAGTTATAAAGGATTATAGTATTCAGCAATACAATTGTATCATACATTGCATTATCAAGGGCCATTCAAATACACTCTGACGTTTCTGAGTTTCTGAATTCCTAAAACCCTCTTGCTCCTTTGTTCAGGTTAATGAGGAAGAGATTGGACTATTTAAAAACCCGTTCCCAGTACAAACTCACACAGAGAATTTTGGAGTGTATCCAATTTCAATAGCCACTGCATATTCAATCAATATATACATGAAATCAGGGCAGAAAACAACCTCAGTGTAAGTAAAATCACCCAGTAGTCAACCGTGCTTTTTCTCCAAAAGTTCAGATTGAAAGACGCCTCATGCTCTCAGACCCCTGATTTTTTAAAAGTCTATAATCACCCAGGTCACATCTTCCAAAGACATGCGGTGCTGTTTTCTGAGCTTATTTCTTCAATCTGTAGCGTGAATTTGTTTGTGATTTCCCCACAGATGTCAGCGGTTATAGGTCCTTGCTCAGAAACGTCACAGGAATGGATTACGTTTTCTACAGGATCCATTCAAAGTTCCTGAATTTGCTTCTCGGGCTTTACCTACTGTTCAAAATGCTTTTTTTTTTTTTTTAATTTTTTATAGGGAAGGTTGATTCGAGGGACGATAAAGGAAGGGAATTCGGGGACGTTCGTGGTCAAGGAGGGAAGAAAGAGACGTGTCCGCGCTTTAGGGGTGATCGAGACTCCCGCTTTTGAGGGAATGAACAACCCCATCAGAGCCACAGCCCCACTCTGGGAAGCTACCGCTGGACAAACAGGTCCTCCAGTAGCTCGTTTCCCCGAAGTGCCAGTGCTAGAATTTGCCCAGGATCCCCCAAACTCATAGCACCCCAGTTCCAAACCTCAGTGACAACCGCCCTCGGTCTTGAGGCCAGCCGGAGGTGCCGGGCCGGCTTCCCACCCCCAATCTGAACTCACAGCCAGTCTCCTTCTTGATCTCCTCGAGCTCTTCGTCCCTCAGTAACGTGGAGGCCCGAGACCCCATCACTGTGCTGGAAGCTCCTCCGGGAGCGGCGGCGCCTGAAGCTAAGGCAGTGGAAGGGAGGGTGGGAGGGAAGAAAGGGCTAGGGGTCAAGAAGGGAGAGGGCAGTGTTTCTACTGCGGACCCGGGAGGCGACCCAGGGGTGGTGCGAGGGGAAGGGCGGCCCCGAAGGCCAGCCAATGAGGAGCCAGGCCGCGCCCTGCACCCGAGTCGACGTCGGCGCTCGGAGTTCCAGCCCCCGAATGAATCAGCCCAGCGCCAGCTCCTGCTCAGCTACAGATAGACCCCGCCCCCGGAACCACCGCTGCCACCGGGCTTAAAAGGGCGATGCCACTGTGGCGTTAGCGGCCTCAATTAAAGGGGCAACTCCATCAACCCACCGTTTTCCATCAAACCAACCTGAGACCGGCAGTGTAGTCAACCTGTTTTTCACAAACTCTTAACACCAGGAATCTCACCGTACAGGTCGTTGGGATTGCAGAAAGAAGCAACAAAAATTTTCGTGGAGGAACCCTAGGGTGTGTCCCCTGGGAACTGCATGCTGGGAATTGTAATTGGTCTTTCCCGGGCGGCCCTCTCTCCGCCCAGCCGCGTGAGGGCGCTGGGGAGCCGGCCTCGGGTGTCGAGTCAATTGGCTCCTCGGGAAACAGCACCTCGGTGTTCTGCCCCGCGGGCGTCAGCTGTGCGGTTTGGGTGCCCGGCGTTGAGAGCTTTTCTCTAGTTTGCTTCAAGACTGTGCTTTGAAAACCGTCGCTCAGTGACTGAAGTACCCCGAAATTTCTTCTTTAACAGTGATCCCTCTTTTAGTTCTAGACTGAAGTTCAAGCAACTCACCATTTGGCTGAAATTAAGGTCCGGATTTCCCAAATTTCTTGGGTGAGGGGGGAGTCTACAGGTGGAGGAGAGTGAATTCCTAGCATAGGGCCCACCTTTAATTTGAAGTTCTTACTTTATCTTGAAAATGAGAAATTTTGCATTTTATTTTTTTATATTTTATTTATTTTTTTAGTTTTAGTTGGACACAAAACCTTTTTTTTTTTTGAGAATTTTTTTTTAATTTTAATATTTATTTTTTAGTTTTTGGCTGACACAACATCTTTGTTTGTATGTGGTGCTGAGGATCGAACCCGGGCCGCACGCATGCCAGGTGAGCGCGCTACCGCTTGAGCCACATCCCCAGCCCTTTTTTGAGAATTTTAATATTTATTTTTTAGTTTTCGGCAGACACAACATCTTTGTATGTGGTGCTGAGGATCAAACCTGGGCCACAGGCATGCCAGGCGAGCGCTACCGCTTGAGCCACATCCCCAGCCCACAAAACCTTCATTTTATTTGAAAATTTTTATTTATCTATTTTTATGTGTTGCTGAGGATCTAACCCAGGGCCTAGCACATTCTAGGCAAGTGCTCTACCGCTGAGCCACAACCCCAGCCTCACATTTTATTCTTAAAGTATATTCTTGTTTGATAAGGTTGAATGCCACTTTTTAAGTTAGTATACATCCTCTCAAGAGAATGAGTAATTTGACCCCTCACTTCTCTGTTCAAAACCGGTTTGAGATATGGAAGAACCAAATTCTCATCACTCTTACCTAATAATTAGGGTACTACCTCAGCATACTTTCCCAAACCAACTTAGCTTAAACTTCACCTAAGGCTTTGTAGCTTAGCCCTAGGACCCAGAAGTTCCTTGCAGGCTGAGGTTCTAGTTTCACCTTATTGTTTTCATGATTGACTTGCTCTTGCTTTCATGGGCAAACAGTAACATTTTAGATATGTCAGTCAAAGAAGACACGAGGAGCTGCTTTTTATCTTGGAAATATGGGTTTGTAGGAAAATTTTTGTCAGCTGCATGATTGCCTGTTTCTCATTCTGCCTTGAAGCCCACCTCTTTTTTTCCTTCCTAATTTTGAACCTTACCATTTGCAGCTGTCTTCAATCAAACTTTACTTTGCTTGGTGTTAATGCTTTAACATTTTTTTCTTCACCTTTTTTGGGGAAAAGAGGTTACAGAGATTGAACCCAAGGCACTTTGCCATTAAACTACATCCCCAGCCCTCTTTTTTTAATCCCCAGCCCTCTTTTTTTTTTTTGGATACAGTTTTGGAGAACTTGCTGAGGCTAGACTGGAACTCCTGCCTCAGCTGGAATTACACCACATGGCACTCTTTAGCATTTAATTTTTTCCCAAGCATTTCACAAACTTTTTTCTTGGGTAGCTTTTAAACATAAATTTATTTTTACATCCAAAAATGTTGCCTCTATGAAGCTTGTCAAGGCTTTCTCTTCCGTTTTAGGATCTCCTTTGTTTCTGTAAAGAGTCCTCTTTTGCTGTTGGTTAACTTGAGCAAGGAGTGATTTTTCTAAGGCTTGTTTTATGCTCTTTCTGGGTGCATAATGCTTGGTCATACTTTTGACCTCAAATATCTTCCAGTAAGGGCCTGGTTTAGTTTAGGTTCTTCTAGTTTTGTGATTTGGGGCACATGTCTTAAAATCTCTAAGCCTCTGTTTTCTCATCTGTAAATTAAATTATGACTATAATACTTGTGAAAGCACTTGACCTTAAAGTTTGAAAACGTAGGTTATTTATTTGACTAAAAATGCTATAAATCATGGGGCATGGTGGCACATGCCTGTAATCCCAGCAGCTTGGGAGGCTGAACCAGGAGGAGAGTTCAAAGCTAGCCTCAGCAATGGTGAGACACTAAACAACTCAGTGAGACCCTGTCTCTAAATAAAATATAATATAGGGCAGGGGAGGTGGCTCAGTGGTTGAGTACCCTGGAGTTTAATCCCTGGTACCCCTCCCCCCCCAAAAAAAAAAAAAAAAAAACTAAATCTTCACTTTCTTCCTAGGCTGTAGGTATTTCATCACTGTTTTAGAGAGTAAATTGCAAAATTCTCTGAACTTTCCCAGTGTGGCAAAGTCAAGCAGCTTTTATTATTTATTTACTTATTTGTTTTTGTTACTGGGATTGTTATTTACTTATTTATTTTTGGTATGGGGACACTTAACTACTGAGCTATAACCTGTTAGCATAAATGACACACATATGACAGGCAGGAGACTGGAAGCAAATCTTGGATCAGCCAGCTTTTCTTTATTCAGGATTCAGTGGCAGAGTCAATTAGTGGAACCCTGATGTGGCTCATTTGGGGGGCAGAAAATGGCAGTGGGCTGAAGCAAGGGTCTGGGTTATAAAGGCTCTGTTTAGGGTGGGACAGGAGGGTAGTTTGGGGGCTTCATTATATTGGGGTGGGCTGATTAGAGTAAGACAGGCATGTGAATAGGGAATTACCTGGGGCTTATTGTATTGGGCTCAGCTGACCCATTAGGGTGGGGGGTCAGATGCCAATCAGGTGTGAATTCTTTTTGTGTTCCTTCACTCTGACTGGGCTTTTAAATGACAAAAACTTCAATTTTACACAGAAAAGGCCGGTGGGGGAACAGCTGCAGATAAAGGGAAATGTCCTTGGACTTATTCTTCATATCCTACATTCCAGACTCTGAAAGGGACATAAAGAATTGAGCCATCAATATCAAATCTAGCTGCTTCCCGGTGAAAATGGGCAAAATAGGGGACCTCCCCCTTTCAGAGTTCTGAAAGAGAACATGCAGACCCTGGTGGTTGAGGTATAAGTGGGAGGAGTGGCCAGATTATCTGATTAAAGCAAGCCCTCTTTTTCAAAAAGTCAGATGATGAGCATGGGAGGAGATGAGCCCTAGGAGGTGGCTTGGGTTAGATAGGTCACCTTCCTAAGAAACCATTTCTTGGAACCATATTTTCCTGATGTTTTAATTGTTTCTATCCTGCTTGACAGACTATGCAAAAACAAGAACAGAGTTTAACAGTATGGTTGTAGCTAGTAACCCAACTACATGTATAGGAAAGTATTTAAAAGGCTTAAGGGAAGAGATGCTTCAGTCAAATTGCCCCAAATCTCTTCATTGTTAAAAGCAGGTGCCTTTGCATCAACCATGGCCATAACCTAAGGTTTCAATTCCAACACATCCAATGTGTAATTCCAACACGTCCCTAATGGAGATCAAGCCCCATTAGGTGATTATGTTTATTTTGCCATTGAATCTCAGTATCACTCTATGGAACTCTAGTAAAACAAAATTGGGTAACATTATAATGACATTGAGGTCTTTGAGCCCATCATAAATCTTGTACTTGTTCTTCTAGCCATATGATAGACTCTTTTAGTTTTTGAAAAAAATTCCTGATCAATATGTACTTGAATTTATAAGATCTCAGTAAATTTCTTTTGAAATTGCTGAAAGGGGATGCAGAAGCAATTATCTTAGCCAAGATAACAATGCAAGCTATTAACCATTAGATGAAACATTTAGCACTTTTATAAGGAGCCAGGTGGCTACTGGCCTTTTGAGAATCATAACAGTTTGTCCTGAATTTTGCCATACAGTTTTTTTTTTTTCAAATTCTAATTTCTTTTTTTTAAATTTTTTATTGTTGGTTGTTCAAAACATTACATAGTTCTTGATATATCATATTTCACACTTTGATTCAAGTGGGTTATGAACTCCCATTTTTACCCTGTATACAAATTGCAGAATCACATCAGTTACACATCCATTGATTTACATATTGCCATACTAGTGTCTGTTGTATTCTGCTGCCTTTCCTGTCCTCTACTATCCCCCCCCCCTCCTCTCTCTCTACCCCCTCTACTGTCATTCATTTCTCCCCCTTGTATTATTTTCCCCTTTCCCCTACTTCCTCTTGTATGAAATTGTGTATAACCCTGAGGGTCTCCTTCCATTTCCATGCAATTTCCCTTCTCTCTCCCTTTCCCTCCCACCTCTCATCCCAGTTTAATGTTAATCTTCTTCTCATGCTCTTCGTCCCTACTCTGTTCTTAGTTACTCTCCTTATATCAAAGAAGACATTTGGCATTTGTTTTTTAGGGATTGGCTAGCTTCACTTAGCATAATCTGCTCTAATGCCATCCATTTCCCTGCAAATTCTATAATTTTGTCATTTTTTAATGCAGAGTAATACTCCATTGTGTATAAATGCCACATTTTTTTTTTATCCATTCATCTATTGAAGGGCATCTAGGTTGGTTAATGGCTTAAACTCACTAATTAAGAGACACAGGCTAGTAGAATGGATCACAAAACAAGACCCAACAATATGCTGCCTACAGGAGACGCATTTGATAGGAAAAGACATACATAGGCTGAAGGTGAAAGGTTGGGAAAAATCATATCACTCATATGGACTTCGGAAACAAGCAGGAGTGTCCATACTCATATCAAATAAAATAGATTTCAAGCCCAAGTTAATCAAAAGGGATAAAGAGGGACACTACATACTGCTCAAGGGAACTATACACCAACAAGACATAACAATCATAAATATATATGCCCCAAACAATGGTGCAGCTATGTTCATCAAATAAACTCTTCTCAAGTTCAAGAGTCTAATAGACCACCATACAATAATCATGGGAGACTTCAAC